TGGTGATGATGGTGATGTGGTGGTGATGATGGTGATGATGATGGTGTTAGTTATGGTGATGGTGATGGTGATGGTGATGATGGTGATGGTGATGATGGTGATGACGATTATGATGGTGATGATGATGGTGATGATGATGGTGATGAGGATGATGGTGATGTGGTGGTGATGATGGTGATGATGATAGTGGTGGTGATGGTGATGGTGATGATGATGATGATGATGGTGATGAGGATGATGGTGATGTGGTGGTGATGATGGTGATGATGATGGTGATGGTGTTAGTTATGGTGATGATGATGGTGATGGTGACGATTATGATGGTGATGTGATGGTGATGATGGTGATGGTGATGATGATGGTGATGGTGGTGATGATGATGATGGTGATGATGATGATGGTGATGGTGATGATGATGATGATGATGGTGATGAGGATGATGGTGATGTGGTGGTGATGATGGTGATGATGATGGTGTTAGTTATGGTGATGGTGATGGTGATGGTGACGATTATGATGGTGATGTGATGGTGATGATGGTGATGGTGATGATGATGGTGATGGTGGTGATGATGATGATGGTGATGATGATGATGGTGATGGTGATGGTGATGATGATGATGATGATGATGATGGTGATGAGGATGATGGTGATGTGGTGGTGATGATGGTGATGATGATGGTGATGGTGTTAGTTATGGTGATGATGATGGTGATGATGATGATGATGATGATGGTGATGATGGTGATGACGGTGATGGTGATGATGGTGATGACGATTATGATGGTGATGTAATGATGGTGATGACGATGGTGATTGTGATGGTGATGATGGTGATGGTGATGGTGATGATGATGATGGTGATGGTGATGGTGATGTGATGATGATGATGATGGTGATGAGGATGATGGTGATGTAGTGGTGATGATGGTGATGATGATGGTGTTAGTTATGGTGATGATGATGGTGATGGTGATGATGATGATGACGATGGTGATGGTGATGACGATTATGATGGTGATGGTGATGGTGATGATGGTGATGGTGATGATGACGCTGGTGATGGTGATGATGATGGTGATGATGATGGTGATGGTGATGATGGTGATGACGATTATGATGGTGGTGATGATGATGATGGTGATGATGGTGATGACGATTATGATGGTGATGATGATGGTGATGGTGATGGTGATGATTATGATAATGATCGTTTGTGGCGTTCGTGGCGTCCATGTGTCCTGCAGAAACAGACGGAGCGTTTGTTCCTCAGCTGCGCTCTCCAGCTGCAGCCCGAATCTCTTAATTAAATCTCTGCGTATTTCTAATCTTGTTTCCTCTCCTCAATCAGCAGCAGCAGTCTGTAATGAGCCGTCTCTGTGTGGAGCATCATGTTATGATGATGTCAGGGCGTGCTGGCGGCTCGCTGCAGAGCTCTTTCATGTTTTCATCCTGGGGGGGCCTCATTGTACCCAGATGTGTTGGGGTCTCGTCTTCTTCTGTGCAGGTCTGAGTGCTTCACGTGCTAGTGTTGTAGTCAAGGCCAAGACCAAGACATCTAGGGATTGAGGCCGTGTTGAGACCAAGACCAAGGCAGGGTGAGACGTAATCACAACCAAGACTGAGACCAAAAGTATCTCTGTAAAATCATCATCTTATGTTTAGGGGGCATGTCTCTCACTGTAACACCGGGAAGGTTGCGGCCGTAACCGGGGGATAAATATCAAACTACAAATGAACTGAAGTTATTTGTTCTTTTAAAAAGAGTTTTCCTTCTAATCACAGAAATAACGTGTAAAACTAGACGATCAGTGGTGGTCTTGATTTAAAATCGGGAGGTGTGCCCAACACCTGCTGAGTGTACAATGTGTGGCTCATAACCTGAGGGCTTAAAGTCATTATGGGTAATGTAGTTCTTCACTAACTGAAGCAGAGGCGGGCGAGGTATCTCTGCAAACCGGCTGCAGCGATAAAGACGAGGGGCTGAAGATTTGTGTCACAGTTGGAGGATCAAAGTTTCCTTCTCATTGGAGCGCTGCAGGCAGCCAACTTTAACTCCGCTGTGATGAAGTCAGCATGTCTCCAAACGTCTGCGGCGCTCAAGTGTCCTTGAGCGAGGAGTGAAATCCTCCTCAGATCTGCAGCTGAGCGGGCTGTTTTAGTTCTTCCCCGAGGAGCGAGAAAACAAAAAAAAATCAATACAGAAACTCGTCTTTTCATGAGGAATGGAAACGTCTGGAAAGTGCTGAGAGCTGAAAGAGAGACTGGAAGATAAACGATTTGGAAAACGACCGATTCCACGACGCATGGCGGACAAAGCTGTGGAGCTGAGAGAGAAACGTCCAAACAAAAACAGAGATCCTGAGATTTACACCCAACGGAGAAATAAAACAAAGATATTCTCTGGAAACAAAGCAGCATGTTCACGAAAGGAAACTCCGGATCGTACGAGTAAATAGAGGTCGTTTTAAATGTTCTATGAGTTCAAAGTCTGAGTTTTTTTGTTCCTCACAGAAGAAATGGCCTCACTTTGTAACTGGAGCTGATAGTCGTCTTTAAACTGAAGATAAAGTGAAATGAAACGTTTCAGGAAGGACATTTTTTAGAGCAGCTGCTCCTCGTTTGGTCCCACATGAGGGACCGTATGAGGGACCACATGAGGGACCGTATGAGGGACCACATGAGGGACCGTATGAGGGACCGTATGAGGGACCACATGAGGGACCGCATGAGGGACCGCATGAAGGACCACGAGGGACCACATGAGGGACCAAATGAGGGACCACATGAGGGACCACGAGGGACAGCATGAGGGACCGTATGAGGGACCAAATGAGGGGCCACATGAGGGACCAAATGAGGGACCACATGAGGGACAGCATGAGGGTCCGCATGAGGGACCCAATGAGGGACCGCATGAGGGACCGCATGAGGGACCACGAGGGACCGCATGAAGGACCACGAGGGACCACATGAGGGACCAAATGAGGGACCACATGAGGGACAGCATGAGGGTCCGCATGAGGGACCACATGAGGGATATGTCAGCCCTGTGATTGGCTGACAGTCCAGGGTGTAACCCCGCCTCTCGCCCAATGACAGCTGGGATCGTCTCCAGACCCCGAATAGGAAAAGGGTTGTAGCTGATGGATGGATTATGAGATCTTAAAGTGCAGTTTAACACTTTAATGTTTAACTATCCATATGTATCCATGTTAATGGCTGGGATTGGATTCATGACTTATCACGTTTTAAACACTTATTCACTTTTGAAGATCAAATGAAGCTTCTAAATCTTTGAGAAGTTTTTCGTCAAAGTTTTTATCAGACCTAAATGTTTATTGCTGACTTCTTTTTAAGGTTTTAAAGCTTGACGTCAGTATCTCCTGTAGAATCTTGGAGAGAACGTTTGCAAGCATGGACCATTTTGCACAGAGTCCACGCTGACGTGCTGCAAAACGAGAGATCAAGTGAAAGCTCTGCAGCCTCAGAGCGGCTCGGAGCTGTCAGGGTTTGAAGTGTGTCTCCCAGCAGGCTGCATGAGAGCAGGATCTGTCAGAGCGTCCGTGTTTACACACAAACACCCGGTCATGATTACTGCCACAGTCTTCTCTCTGAGTTTTTGATTGTTTGTTTGTAGGAATAGAACCAGAGCTCACTCTCAGGGTGTGATGAGTCGTCTGGAAGCTGAATGTGATATTTGATAATAAGAGAGTCAGAAGTGATGCTGCAGCTCTGAAGGCACTCATATGAATTGCTAATTAACCTCTGCAGAAGCACAGTTCATGAATAAGGACTAACCTGCTGGGAGTTTGGAGGAGAGCTGACGGACGTGTGCAGGATCTCAGAGGGACTGAGACGTTTCAGGTGTGAAACAGAGAGAGAGAGAGAGAGAGAGAGAGAGAGAGAGGGCGAGCGAGGAGGTTTAACTCCAGCAGCTGACCTTTACAGAGCGTCCTTTTAGAGGCTACAGGACAGACCAGAAACCTGAGTGCTGCTGCTCTGTGACGGCTTTAGACACGTTTAAGATCAGGACTTTCACCTCTGGAGGTTTGCAGAAGCTCCCCGCACTCATGATGAGGTCGATTGAGGAGCTCTTTGACTCGATGATGAAATAAAATCACAAATAAAAGATAAACACCTTTATTCACACGCCATGGTGACTCAGCGCTTTATTTATAGAGCTCCATTCATACACAGAATTCAACGTTTGAAGAGGTCCACTCAGTGAGATGTGTAGAGAGTGAAATGATAGACAAGTAGACATTTGTAGTCATGTTTAAAGCTAGAAATAGATCATTACCCGAAAATGTACAGAAGTTGTTTGTATTTACATCTAATGAGGAGGATCATAGATGGAGATTTAATTTTAAAAGTCCATTTGCACACACTGCATTAAAACAAATGTGTATCTCAGTAAATGGAGTTAAATTACCAATAATTATTATCTCAATAATAATTTAAAATGCTGCTCAAGTATCATTCAATTTAAAAGAATGTATAAAAAAAAGGTTCTGGGAAATTATGAATGTATTGCGTTAATCTAACTGATTGTATTTGATTGTTTCTATAATTTTTATCTATTTTTTGTTTTGTGAAAGAAAGAGAAAACAACAGGTAATCTTATTCTGTTAAACAGTATCTTGTGTTATTAGGAAAGCTCCTGTTTGCTCATGAACAGTGTTTCAGCATTATGAAAAAATATTTTTTGTTGTGTATTATGGTGTTGAAACCAAACACTGAAATGAGCAAATACATCAAATATGAAATGAAATGAAATAAAGGTATCTTACTCTCTGATCATTAAGGAAACATGCTATGTTGAAGTGCTGGCTTCTCTGACAACAATGCAGCAGCCAGTATGTCCTCCTTCTAACTTTAGATTCTGCTGTGTTTTGATATTCTTCACATGTCAACATTACAAATAATTACTAATAACCCTGCGTTGTTTATCAAACTGATCCCTCCAGTCCTTATGTCTGAATGTTTCTGCCTGCAGGAGGAGGAGGAGCGTGGGAAGCGTCAGGTCCTGGTCCTCGGTCTCGACGGGGCCGGGAAGAGCAGCATGCTGATGGGTTTGACCCCCGGGGAGTCGGCGGCTAAAAGAGGCCGCTGCCGGCCCACACGAGGCTTCAACTTCATGAGCCTGAACGCCCCCGCCTGTCAGCTCGACTTCCTGGAGAGTAAGACTCATTTTCTTCCTCGATTCAGACGCTACAGGCTGCATGTTTAATGTGGAAGCATGAAGCAGAGAGACGGAAACAGCACTTTGTGTCTTTAGATTCACATTTTAACAAACTGCTCAACAGACTGCAGACTGCAGGAAGACGTTTTCAAATAAACACTACTTTCATAAACGCGTAGTGTGAGCAGTTGTATTGCCACTCACGTCCCTCTTTTAACCAACCAAAACAATACACCATGCAACAACACTGATTGGTCTCTACATGTGTCAATCAATCTCAGGGTTGGGGCTGTTTCTTAGCTAACCTAGCTTACCGTGCTAACAGGACCTGCTGTGTAACAACAGGTAGGCTAGCTTCCCATGCTAACAGGATGGGCGAGCTGTCCTTCTGAACAGGAAGTCAGCTTTTTCCAAAGAGCTCCAGGAGAGTTACAGCTTCCTGTGAAAAGCCAATAAAGATGCTCGTTCTGCACACACTGCACATGTCCACATGTCGCCCACGTTGGAAATGTCGACATACAAAGTCATTTTAAAACGAGCCAACACAAACGCTGGATAGAGACAGAAGTAGAACTGTTTTTGAAAATATGGTCACTCTAGCTAACACAGGTTAGCATTAGATATTGTAAGACATGCCGTGCAATGTTGAAATGGAATTAAAAATGATGCTGGTCGCATTCCTCCAACGTTAGCTCAAACTTACGTTAAGTCTCTGCATGAACTTGCTTTTCTTCATACGTTACCTTTTACAACCTCTAATCACATGGTCGGGATGTACATTAAAAGTGAGGTGCCATTGAAGGAAACATGGTTTCCTCAGGAAGTCATTTCAGTTCTCTCACCTTGTTATTAACCTGAGACTGGGACAGAGAACCCTCACACTGTTTCTCCCCAAAATCATTCACTTTCTCTCAAATGCAAACCAAGCTAATGAAAAGATGAGAGTCTAAAAAGAAGCAGAAGATTTTATTGACAGACAAACAAACAAATCCAGCAAATGAGCATTCCTCTGAAAGACTAAAAAAAGATCAAAATAACTCTGAGTGTTTGCCGTCAGCTGCCTCAGAATGAGCTTCTGCAGGTGTATGCACATGAACGCGTCGCGCTCGGTGGCAGATTGATTCACGATCTGAACACAGAGCGCCTCAGATCTTTCTCTAATCTGTAAAAGTAAAAGCAGCACACGTCAGCGCCCACTCAGTCAGGATGCTTCTCTGTCTCTGTGCGGTGAGAGTCGGAGTCTTTGTCTGGGGTGACGTTGATGCAGAGGCATGTTGACAGCTCGGAGCAGTACAGAGCTCAGGGACGAGCGAGCTCTCTTTGTAGAGTCCGTCAGGGACATCCAGCCTTTAAACCCTGAAAAGATGCAGATCAGGGAGAGAAGTGGAGCCACGCTTTGAGCTGCTCAGATCTGACGTTGTGCTAAAGGGAAGTGAAAAACAACATCTGGGAGAAGGTCCTGATGTTTCAGACAAACTCAGCGTGCATTTGCCTCATGTTTGTTTCTTCTTCTGGTGCTGGAACAGTTTGTTCTAGTTTGTTTTTCATCTGATTTGATGAACTATGTAAATGAGCTGTGTCTGACCACGCCCCCTCTCTGGAAGGGCTTGAGTGTCTCGGTGCTTTCTTTCTCCATGTCCTATTGTTTACGGTGAGAAGGCAGACTCAGAGGGCAGAACAAACACCTAGCTGTGGGAGTGTCACCCACCTGGGGGAGGGGCTACTGCTGATGCAGCCATCGCCATCCGGCTTACTCGATTGGCTGTGGAAACTCAAAAGAGATCAGGGTTTACTTTACAATCAGGTGACTTTGTTAGAATGAACGTTGTAGGTGTAAAAACAAGGTCATCCACACCTTTATGATTTAGTGTGTACGTGTGTGTGTGTGTGTGTGTATGTGTGTGTATGTGTTCATAAGGCGCCCTGCAGAGCGTCAGGACAAACCTCCCGCTTAGCCCCCCCCCCCCGACTTTAAAACAGCTGCTCTCCCAGCTGAGCGTCCGCTCCACCATCAGGTAAACAGGTATTTATTTCTGCCACCTCACGTCAGCTCCAGCCTCATCACTGCCCTGTTGCCTAGCAACAACCTCCGTTAAGTCCGGCATTAATGAAGTCCTGCTGAGCGGCTGTGTGCCGCACTCGGAGGCGGCGACGGCCTGAAGTCAAACCCGCCCGGGTGTGTGAGCGAGCGATTGGTTTCAGCCGCCGAGCGCCGATGCTCATTAAAGCTGCAGGTCAGATCGGACGCACAGCGGGATTGTGGGAAGTTAAAGCATGCGGTTGTTAACCTCCCTAAGACTGAAGACGACAACTGAAGGAATGCAGAATGATTTAAAATAAAAAACACTGAGACATTTTAAAGACGTGAGCTCCTTTTGTTGGTCAGTCTGAAGATCCTCCATGTGAACAAACTGTTCTCTGTTCACAGATTCTGCAGGAAAATAAAACCTGTACTCGGGTTTTAATGTGAGACGTGTTCTGGTTTTTGTTTGCAGTCTGAGTAGACCTGAGTTTGACCAATCACGTCTCAGCAGGAAGAACTTAGTTATCATCTCAGCGCTAATCTCATGATTTCATTTTCTATGCAGAGAAAACTTCGTGTCACCCACATCACTAACACATCACCAACACATCACCAAAACATCACCAACACATCACCAACACATCACCAACACATCACCAACACATCACCAAAACATCACCAAAACATCACCAACACATCACTAAAACATCACCAACACATCACCAACACATCACCAAAACATCACTAACACATCACCAACACATCACCAACACATCACCAACACATCACCAAAACATCACCAACACATCACCAACACATCACCAAAACATCACCAACACATCACCAAAACATCACCAACACATCACTAAAACATCACCAACACATCACCAACACATCACCAAAACATCACTAACACATCACCAACACATCACCAACACATCACCAAAACATCACCAACACATCACCAACACATCACCAAAACATCACTAACACATCACCATCACATCACCAACACATCACCATAACATCACCAACACATCACCAACACATCACCACCACATCACCAAAACATCACTAACACATCACCATCACATCACCAACACATCACCAATACATCACCAAAACATCACCATCACATCACCAACACATCACCAAAACATCACCAACACATCACCAACACATCACCATAACATCACCAACACATCACCAACACATCACCAACACATCACCAAAACATCACTAACACATCACCATCACATCACCAACACATCACCAAAACATCACCAACACATCACCAACACATCACCAAAACATCACCAACACATCACCATAACATCACCAAAACATCACCAAAACATCACCAACACATCACCATCACATCACCAAAACATCACCAACACATCACCAACACATCACCAAAACATCACCAAAACATCACCAACACATCAACATCACATCGCCAAAACATCGCCATCACATCACCAAAACATCACCAAAACATCACCAACACATCACCAACACATCACCAAAACATCACCAAAACATCACCAACACATCAACATCACATCACCAAAACATCACCAACACATCACCAACACATCAACATCACATCACCAAAACATCACCAACACATCAACATCACATCGCCAAAACATCGCCAAAACATCACCAACACATCAACATTACATCACCAAAACATCACCAACACATCAACATCACATCACCAACACATCACCAACACATCAACATCACATCACCAACACATCAACATCACATCACCAAAACATAACCAAAACATCACCAACACATCACCATAACATCACCAACACATCACCAAAACATAACCAAAACATCGCCAAAACATCGCCATCACATCACCAAAACATCACCAACACATCACCAACACATCACCAAAACATCACCAACACATCACCAACACATCACCAAAACATCACCAACACATCAACATTACATCACCAAAACATCACCAACACACCCAGTTATGGGGAACATGTGATCAGTGGATCTGAAGCTCAAAAACATAAAAATATGTTTTTTATCCGGTTACATCAGATCATCATGTCACGACACTCTTAATCAATCAGTCAGATGTCCATGAAGCTAGATGATAAACAGCTTACACAACCACCCAGCGGACTCGCCCACGCTGCAGAGTGAAGAGAGGGACTCTGCACAGAGGAAGTTATAGTCCTGAAAGTCCTAAATGAGAGAGTCATTAGAGGGTGAATAAAACACAACTCAGGATTCAGTAGATCTCTATGAGGAAAAGAGGTTAGAAAAAAACGTAGAAGTTCAGAACCATCAAATAAAGAAAAGGAAAAATAAATTCCTGCATGGTCATATTTCACTGACAAATAATTCTTGAAGGCAACGAGATGGAATAAATGAATCAGAGTCATTCTATCCAGCTTATTCAGCATGGATATAAATAATCACTAAGAGGCGTCTGAGTCCGATCAGCACGGTGAACATCTAACAGCTGATCTGATGTGACGTCATGACGGAGATTGGTTCACCTGCACGCTGACACTAAAGACACTGACAGCAAACATCCGACGCCATTAAAAGTCAATAGAAGAACAATATGTCACTTCCTGTTTGTTGTTCTTAATCCAACCAGGAGGTCGGGTCACGTTGGTGAAGGGTGTGTGCAGAGCGCTGTGCTCTCATTGGTCAATGGCACTGATGAAACAACATTGTAGAAAGCAGAGAGAAATCAAGCTCGACTTCCTGTCAGGAGGTCATGAGGCGTTATTATCGTTTACTGTGACACACCACACGGGGAAAAATAATCAACTTCCTGGTGGAGACACTACGGTCTCTGGATCAGACTCTAACAGTCTCTGAACCAGACTCTAACAGTCTCTGAACCAGACTCTAACAGTCTCTGAACCAGACTCTAAAGGTCTCTGGATCAGACTCTTAACGGTCTCTGGATCAGACTCTAACAGTCTCTGGATCAGACTCTAAAGGTCTCTGGATCAGACTCTAACAGTCTCTGGATCAGACTCCAAAGGTCTCTGGATCAGACTCTAACGGTCTCTGGATCATACTCTAACAGTATCTGGATCAGATTCTAACGGTCTCTGGATCAGACTCTTAACGGTCTCTGGATCAGATTCTAACGGTCTCTGAACCAGACTCTTAACGGTCTCTGGATCAGACTCTAAAGGTCTCTGGATCAGACTCTTAACGGTCTCTGGATCAGACTCTTAACGGTCTCTGGATCAGATTCTTAACAGTCTCTGGATCAGACTCTAACGGTCTCTGGATCATACTCTAACAGTCTCTGGATCAGATTCTTAACAGTCTCTGGATCAGACTCTAACAGTCTCTGGATCAGACTCTAACGGTCTCTGGATCATACTCTAACAGTCTCTGGATCAGATTCTAACGGTCTCTGGATCAGACTCTTAACGGTCTCTGGATCAGATTCTAACGGTCTCTGAACCAGACTCTAACGGTCTCTGGATCAGACTCTAACGGTCTCTGGATCATACTCTAACAGTCTCTGGATCAGACTCTTAACGGTCTCTGGATCAGACTCTAACAGTCTCTGGATCAGATTCTAACGGTCTCTGGATCAGACTCTAACGGTGCTAACATACTGAAGTCTGACCTCAGAGTTAGAAGTCTTAGAGCAGAAAGTTTCCTAAGAACCTCAACACAACGTTTGAAATGGTCATAAAGGTGAGAAGGTTTGATCCAATAGATGAAGTTGTAAACACGTGGTTCGTGTGGAGTACAGGATCTGTTTCTGCAGAAAGCTGATCTTATATTTTATAAAAAGTTCATCTGACCGCTGAAATGGAATCTGTTGATTCATAAATAATTGATTTCACTTGAATGTTTGTGTCTTCTGTGCTGCAGTCGGGGGAGGGGAGGACCTGCGGAGGTACTGGTCTGACTACCTGAGGAGGACTCACGTTCTGGTTTATGTGGTGGACTCATCGGACCGGAGCCGCCTCCCGTTAGCTAAAGATGAACTTCACCGCCTGCTGACGGTGGAGCCTCAGCTGCCCGTGGTCGTCCTGGGAAACAAACAGGTAAACAACACGTTTCATAACTCAAGCTTCCTAAACAACCCCCCCCCCCCCCCAAGGATTAAGAACTCTTCTCCTCTGTCACCCCCTGGTGGTGGAATGAACTTCCAAACTCCATGTGATCTGCAGAGCCCCTCTGCACCTTTAAGAAAAAGCTAAAGACCCAGCTCTTTCATGAATACCTACTAACTTAATGATGATGGTCTCCATATTATTGATGATGATGATGGTAATGACGATGGTTTTTGTTTGATAACGATGACTTATAAGATGGTTTCTATACTGATTAGAGCTCTCAAGAACTGCCCTCAATGTTGTGCTTTGCCTCTGGTCACTTCCTGTCAGCACCTGTGTGTCCAATCAGACTCAAAGCTGATTGTTTGCTCTTACTCACATTGTTCCCTTTTTTCTAGATCCTTGCTTGTGTTGTTCTTACTCTCTGATGTACGTCGCTTTGGATAAAAGAGTCTGCTAAGTGAATTGTAGAATTATAACATGGAACCCCTCCAGTCGTTATTCAGTCTTAACGAGGTTAAAGCTGAAAGAGAAGAAGAAGAGGGAGCCAATGCAGACGCTTCTCTCTTCATTAACCAACGAGTGATGATCCATGACACTCCTGAAATAAATATTTCTACATTTCCTCCTCGGCTCATATTTCTTCACCTCGCGCGGCGCTCGTCGAATTATTCATGAACCTCCGAGGGGAGTGGGAGTAATTGTCACATCTCTCTGCAGCTCTCAGCGCCCTGAACTGTGATCGCCATATTAGAGCGATAGATATAAGAATACGAGATGAACGCAGGAGCACTTACTGTTCAGTCAGCTAAATGTGAGAAGTGAAGCCGAGTATCACGGTCAAAACATTACAGATAAGAAGCATTTACACAAATTAAACTCCAACCTTCTCCCTGTTTTCATCTCCACATCTGATGAGGAATCATTTTACATCAGACGGATGATAAAGGCCACGTTTACACGAGAAGGATCCACTGAAAACGGAGACGCGTTTAGATTTCAAAAATGTTCAGCAAGCAGCAACCTCCGGTGTTAAAAACTGAAGCCGATGCTGAAGTGTAAAATCCTGCAGTTCCTTGTGTGTCCACTAGAGGCTGGCTGCAGAAGCACAGGAAGTCACATACACACCCATTCTAAAAAGCCTGTTTTTACAGCAGAGGTTAACATGTTTACAGAATAGGTGTGATTAGCTCATGTCTCGATGGACACACACTGTACGGGGGGTGAATGTTTTGATGACTCATCAGTTTTGATTTGATGAAGGATAAGAGTTATTCACAATAAGGCGTGTAGATGACCTGATTGACAGGTGGGCGCGGTGTAACGGTTTGTCGGGAGGTTTAAAACCCGCCTCAGCTCCAGCTCTCAGCCTGTCGTTAGGTTGACTGAGAGTTAGCCTGAGACAGCATTTCCAGCATGGAGACCGCCATCGATAGGACTCCAGCGCCCCCTGCAGGGACAGACGGGGGACAACATTCAGGCTTCATATTTACAGTTGGTATTTCGTTTTATAAATCCGCTGATTTATAGACGTTTCTTTCCCAATGTGAGCTTATGTGATAAAGTCTTTTTGGGCCCAACAGGGTAAAGTGAAGCTGCAACACCAAGTTTGGCCACCGTGTAAAATTGGCTTCAACACTCAGCGCACTTCCTGGGGACTTGACCTATGTGCTACACATGGCTATTCACTGGAAGCGTATTGAGCTTGTGCTTAAGGTCTCAGTTTTCAGAGTAACTGCAGATTAACATCTTAAAAGGAGACAGAGCTGCTTTAACAAGTCTGTACTCTTCAACGCGATTTTAAAACTTTACGTTTACAGCACTAAACGCCGTCGTGGGCGTCATAAACGTTAACTTTGTTTTGCTTCTCGTTAACACTACAAGGGTGTAAAATGCAAAGTTTTGACAGGAGAGCAGGGAGATACAATTTGTGAATTCCATGTGAGGAGATAATAACTGAAAGCTGTGATGAATTTACCGTATTTTCCACACTATAAGGCGCACCGGATTATAAGGCGCACCTTCAATGAATGGCCTATTTTAGAACTGTTTTCATATATAGGGCGCACCGGATTATAAGGCGCATAGAATAGAAGATACTGCAGTCAAACGTTTGACTGGGGTTGCGTTATGCATCCACTAGATGGAGCTGTGCTAAAGGGAATGTCAACAAAACAGTCAGATAAAGTCAAACTTTATTAAGCGTTCTGACAACTCCGTTCACTCCCATGGTAACGATGTTCAAACGTTAATGTGCATATTAACAATATCTCCCAGCCTTGTTCACTCTTCTCCCAAACGTGGAGGGGAACTTTTCCCTGATTCAGTAAACACGTAGTAAAAGAAACAGTCTGATACCACTAAATCAAATGTTAGTGCATTCACAATATAGTAACTCTCGAAATTGTTCAACTTACGTATAAAACGTAGTTTTAAAAAACGTAGTTTTATACGTACGTTTTATACGTTTTTTATACGTTTATACTACGTTTTATACGTAGTGCATTCACAATAACTCAACGTTGTTCAAACGTTAATGTGCATATTCACAATATCTCCCAGCCTTGTTCAGTTGTAAACACATAAAAGAAACACAGTCTGATACCGCTAATTCAAACGTTAGTGCATAACTCAACATTGTTCAGTTACGTATAACACGTAAAGCTCACTTTTTCAGTTCATTCCCCGTCCACGAATCCCTCGAATTCTTCTTCTTCAGTGTCCGAATTGAACAGTTGGGCGAGTACGGCATCCAACATGCCCGGCTCCCTCTCGTCATTATCCGAGTCAGTGTCGCTGCTGTTGCCTGGCAGTTCAGTGATTATTCCAGTGGATTATAAGGCGCACTGTCGTTTTTTGAGAAAATTAAAGGCTTTTAAGTGCGCCTTATAGTGCAGAAAATACGGTAAGTATTAAATAAGATAATCTTTGACCGTGCAGGAGTGTTTTCCCCTGCAGGCGTTGGTTTTAGCATTTTATAATAAACGACTGCACTCAAGTCAGCCTTAAATAAAAAATATCATCAGAAGAGGAAGGACAGCGCTCCAATTTGTGCAGCCACTTGAACAAGCCTGAACATTACACATCAATCACTTCAACAGATCGCTGTCCTCGTTCTGATTTTTGTCTCCTGAAGCATAACAGATGTTTGGTTTTTAATCCGCCACTTCATCTTTACACAAATAAAGGAGACAGGCGGCTTTCTGTAACAGATGATCAAATCTCAAGGAGGTTTCACAGCGCTTGAATATTTTCCAAAGTGAGATGAACAGAAGATCATTTCATGTCGATTTGCCCTGAACGACATCAGGAAGATCAGACCTTTCCTGTCAGAGCTACACAGATCCTGGTTCAGGCTCCTGTGATATCTCTACTGGCAGGTCTTCCTACAGTCACTATCAAACCCCTGCAGATGATACAAAATGCAGCAGCACGACTGGTCTTCAACCTTCCTAAAAGAGCACATGTCACTCCTCTGTTCATCTCCTCACACTGGCTCCCAGTTACTGCTCGCATCAAATTTAAAACTCTGCTGCTCGCTTACAAAACAGACACAGAAACGTCTCCTCCTTACTTTAACTCTCTGATCCAGGTCTACACTCCCTCCCCCCACTACGCTCTGCCAATGAAAGGCATCTGATCCAACCTTCACAACAGGGTCCTAAGTCTCTGACTAGACTCTTCTCCTCTGTCGCCCCCCGGTGGTGGAATGAACTTCCTAACTCCATGTGATCTGCAGAGTCCCTCTGCACCTTTAAGAAAAAGCTAAAGACCCAGCTCTTTATGAACACCTACTAACTTAATGATGATGATGATGATGATGATATTTAAGATGGTTTTGATGCTGATTAGAGCTTTCAAGAACAGCTGTCGATGTTGTGCTCTGTCTCTGGTCACTTCCTGTTTGCACTTCCTGTCGTTGTCTCCTCTCTCTCTCCTCCCTTGTGTTGTTCTTACTCTGTGGTGTTGTCTCTTTGAATTAAAGTGTCAGATAAATGAATTGTTAAAAACGTCTCAACTGTTCCTCAGAGTGTCTCTTTATTAGCAGCACTTTGTGAGATCTTTTATAACACTAAAGCCTTGGCCTCTGTCATGCTTTGCACTCGATGCAGAACAAAGAAATAATGTTGTCGTTAAGAGGAGTTTTTGTTAATGATACCATCTCTAACCCGCCATCACTATTTTATTCTCTACCTCGACACTCGCTGTGTTGAAACTGCACAAAAGGATTCCTGCTGCTGAAACATTTCAAAAAGACGAGGCGGACTTCTATGGATTCTGGTCCGCTGTGAAGAGTTAGTGTAGGAGGCCGGTGTTAAAGTCAGTCTTCACGAGTAGATACACAAATTATTCAGTGTTATGTAAACCTTTAAAGAGGACATCATCTCCCTCCTCCACCTTTTCAAACAGTCCCCTCCTCCACCTTTTCAAACAGTCCCCTCCTCCACCTTTTCAAACAGTCCCCTCCTCCACCTTTTCAAACAGTCCCCTGTGGTCTAAATGAAACATCTGTGCTGTGCTTTGGTCAAACTATAACATGACTCAAGCACCAGAGGAGGTTTGTGACCCTGTAGAAACCAGCTCTCTCACAACGCTCCGTTTTGGTGTGTGTGTCTCTTTAAATGCAATGACCCCCCCCCCCCCTGAGTTTTCCACGTAGACATCACTCCTCTGTAGAGAGAATAAAAATGGCCGACCTGCTCAAAAGTTTTGTTCTAGGCTGGGGGTGGAGTCTATGGGTGGAGATACCAGGGGAGGGGATTTTCTTTTTACCAGAATCCCACTGTGACATCACAAGGAGAGCACATTTTTCTCTGTGCTGTAAGACTTATGCAGACCACAAACAAATGACTGGATGGGTTTATTTCACATGTTGTGGGTCAGTAGACACTCAGGTTACCAACATATATGTTCAAAAACACTAAAAGAGGCTTTTTAATAATATGTCCCCTTTAACTTCATGTAAAATACATTTTATTATTTCAGATTAATAACAATGTGGCTGCGCCAAAGTGAGCTAAAAACAAATCTGTGCTAAGTATTCAAACTAACGCAGGGACAGTTTATGACTCGTTATTTGCTTGTCCTTGAAAAAGTGAACTTCTTGTTTAACTGTGTTTTGAACTCTTCACAGGATAAGCCGGACGCCGTGAGCGTGTCGGAGCTGCGTGAAGCTTTGTCTCTGGGCTCCGTGACGGAGACAAGAAAGCTGTTCCTCTTGGCCGCCCAGCTGGGCTCAGACGGCGCCCTGAGGAACTCCTGCCGGGGCCTGGATGCCTTCCAGGACGTCCTGCTCCAGCTCGTCTGATCTCTACCCGGCTCACAGAGGAGGAGAGGAATCCTCGTCTTCCTTTTGACTTATTAAAGCTCTGCGTTACGTGAGGCGGAGGAGGAGGGGGCGGAGTCAGCGAGATGGAGCAGCACCTCCTCGTCTGCCTCCTCGCACGTTTATAACCACGTCAGTTTGGAAATAGCAGCTTTTAAAAACTCTTACTCAGCGATGAAGAGGAGGTGCAGAGCGAGGAGGACGAGGGATTGTTCGACGACTCAGACTTTATGTCGACCTGTGCGAGCGTGTAGATGTGTTTATATTAGTCAGGTCATATTTGGGGTTTCCAGGTTGGAGTTCCAGGGGACTGAAAAAACGCACCACCTACGAGAATCTACCGCCTGTGTGTTTGTGAGATTCCTGCTGACTCCTACACGGAGGCTGATCTGAGGTTTTGGGGGATTTAAAGGGATCTCCTGACTTTTAAAAAACAGTTTTATTTTTATTCTCACGACTCGGTCAGGCTCGTGTGAGAAAGTTTCGATGCTTTTCATGACTTTCTTTGAGAGTTTTTTAAGCTCCATTGTTTGAAATAAGTTTTGTGTTTTTGTTCTTAGCTGTGATTTAAGTCGTATTGTCAGAAGTTCACACGAGAGTTAGAGAGTGAACTGAATGTTTACAATGACTCACTTATATTAATGTCCGTTAGCTTACCATGCTAACGAAAATGATCTCCTGGTCAAATGCTCCATGTCCCTTTCCTCTTCTTGACATTGTGTATTTAAAAATATATATTAATCAACCAGATACAGAGTCACTTATTAACAGCTTATATTTTAAATTAATAAAATTAAACACATTAAGGGACAGGAAGCCTTAATGGTTGTTGGTAAAGTGACACTTTAATCTCCTTCAATTCAGACTCAAAGGACTCCCTGGATCTGTGTTTTAGACCTGACAACACTCAAAATGAAAGCTAATAACCCGATTTAGGAGTCACTAATGTTTACCAAGACTATTATAAATGTCAGTCTTGGAAATACAAATGCCCCCCCCCCCCCCCCCCTCGCCCCAGCATTTAGAGTTTCACAGATCAAAACCAAAATGGATTCTCTCTTTGTCAACAGGCAAGGCATGTCACTGCTCGGGACCCCTGGCCAGTAGGGGGCCTCCCAAGGGCGGACAAACTTTAAACCGTAGCAGAGGATCAGAATGTGCTAATTTTACAATGACAATAGGAAACCTCCCTAAAAGGGCCCCATCTGACAGTGTTCAATGTTGTTGAGCTACTAAGCGTTCCAGTATCCCTGTGAGAACTTAAAGTCTTTATATGTGATTGTTCACACTTAAATGTAGAGATCAAGTCTATCCTCTGAAAATAACTCTGTGAGTCATGACTGTCTACAATGGGTGTAACACCCGAGTCCCACTGTCTGTGATGTTTTCAGAGTTTTCAGAGTCCTATCTTCACTTTGTTTACATCGCCCGGACGGCCGGCTGACTCCTCCCCTCGTGTATAAAAGTTGTTTAATTGAGGGACTAGAGAAAAGAAGAATAACATACTGTACTCACTGCTTAACTGTGTTTCTAGATCACGCTCATTTCAGGTAAATTTACATGCAGTGTGAAGATACCAGCAGAATAAAGATCGCTAGCATTAGCATGCTAACACAACAATGCAGCGCGAGTTGTTTTGGTTTCATGCTGGTGCTCAAGGGCGACATCTGCTGGATCAAAAAATCACAAAAAAAAAAAATCACATATAAAGTCAGTTCCTTGAAGCTGGCATTGGTGTTAGAATATCTTTAAAATAACCGCAATGGACACTGGTTGGAGCGGCTCGACTGACTCTAGAATCGCTCTGATCATCACAGTTCCAAAGTCCAAACTCATTAAAACTCAACATTCGTTCAAAGGTTTCCCTAAGCAAAACATTCAGAAGGATTTCCATTCACTAGAAGAGTTTTAGTAACTCCGGAGCGGCAGGCATTATGATTTTATCTGCAGGATTATTGATGAGAGCTGAAACTGTTTAAACACAACCCTCAAACATTCAGCGACGCCAGACAGCCAGACGTTGTTGTGTCTGAGTTTTTAACGTTCCCTCGAGGCGCTCGCAGCTCCGATAGATTCTCCGCCTTCTCCAGGAACTCAGTGTGGACAAACACACTTGAACTTGTTTTTCTCCTGATTTTGTGAAAACAAGAAGAGAAGTTTTAGTCTCCTCGCTCTGCTCCGTTAGCTGTTTGCTCCTCAGACGCGGAAGGAGACGAGTAGAAACAGTCAAACTCATTGAATGTAAACTTCTTTATAAGCTAGATTCTGATTGTTAATGCTGTTTGTGTGCAGCCATGTCCTGATCATGAAGCAGCGATTTTTTAATGAATGTTAAAGTTTTATTCTTCTTTCTGACACTCTGTGATTCTGCAGAAATGTCGTTGTCATGGTTACTGTGTTGTATTTGATGTAAAGTGTTGTTTTCACGTGTTGTGTTAAAAGATATAACGGATATGAACTCATGCATGTTCTCTGATAAAACATTAAAAGTGTCAGGTGCATTTCTGAAGTCTTAAAGTGGAGTTTGAATGATTTTACTCTACAGAGTTTATTTTCAGGTCAAAGGTTGATCTGCTGCAAAAACCACCTGGACTGACGTACAGGTTGACCCTCACCGTGGGAGTGGTTTCTCTTTGCAAACAAACAGATCTGAAGGTTCTCCTCAGCAGCCTCTCCGTGTTTGTCGGCCAAAGTTCCTGAACCAGTCGAACAGGAAGCTGTTTTCGTCTGAAACGACAGAGTTAAATATTTGCACATCACACTAACAGCTGTGCAGGTTTACCTGGAAACAGGGTAACGAGAAGCACTGTGAGGGGAAACTGTAGCATACAACATGGTAGATCTACGTTTGGTCAATCAGCCTTCTCCATCAAAGGCTGCAAACTCTGGAACACATTACCACCTGAAATAAAATTAATCTCCGACTTAAAGGGATACTTCACCTGTTGAAACATCACTCTGTATTGACATTGGGTCATATATGTAGTAGAATTGTGAAATAAATTTTGAAGTTGGTGCCTTCTTGGCCGTGAAAAGGCAGAGAGTGTCTTTTTGGCTCAGCTTCAGTGGTCGAAAATATGAAGAACTAGCGTTGTAGTTTCACCCCGCTAAACGCAACAGCTTCCAGTGACGCAAAAATCGTCATTTTGCGTCACTGGAAGCTCCTTTACAGACTCAGAAATACAACGATTTCCCATCTCAGGGGAAAATGAGGGCGGGATGCACGACCATTCAAAAATACTACCAGGTTTCTAATGATACAAAGATTAATGCTAATGGATGAAGTGTCCCTTTAATATCTTTTACAAAACAGGTGAAATGCTCAAAGTAAGCCAGAGCTATTACCACTTTTAATTAGTATCTTCAAACTTTTTTAAACTGGTTTATAACATTTGTATTGTTGTACATGTATTTTAATGTATCCTCATATGGTGTTATGGGGTTTTATGTAAATGTGTGAATGTTGTACATTTTAATCTGTTTGTTTACACAAAGGCCCAACACGAGTTGGAAATTAGCAATAGCTATATACTCTTTATGCAGCACATCAGTGTCATGCTTCGTATTGAAATTATGTTAAATTGCATCGTCCCTATTAAATAAATAAATTCAAATTCCTACGAGGGGGGGCGGAGCTTCAATCAGCATGAAAACTCACATCCGTTAAATGAAAGCTTGTCATCTTTTTAAAGCTTCGGGACCATAAAGAAACAAAATCTCTTTATTAGTCCATTTCAGAGCGCCGTTTCAGTCGCGACATTTACGCCCCCGTACCGTCTTCAGAGGCGTTACAGAGAGACAGGATCAGCTGATCCAGCGGGGGAGGACAGTGCTGTGTGTGTGTGTGCATGTCTCACTGTGTGTGCATGTCTGACTGTGTGTGTATGTGGAGCTCCTGCTGTGCGTGTTTTGTAGTCTTTAAAGGTCCAATCAGTGAGCTGTGTAGAGAGTGAGATGATAAAGGTATCTTACTCTCTGATCATTAAGGAAACATGCTATGTTGAAGTGCTGGCTTCTCTGACAACAATGCAGCAGCCAGTATGTCCTCCTTCTAACTTTAGATTCTGCTCCTGAATGCTCTGGATTTGTTTGGACCACAGAAGGTAGGCGTTGGTTTTAAGACCCCCCCCCCACACAGCCGTTTTGGACGCCCCTCTGTTTGCCAGATATGAGAGCAGTTATCAGGTCAACAGGTGTTGCAGCGATGGAAGCGGGCAAGAGAAGTGGTTCAGATAGAAGTGATTGTACCCGACCTAAAAAGCCTCTGCATGTTTTTCTCTCGTGGGTCAACTTTTCAGGCTTCAGAATAAATCCATTACAATGACATCACTGTTCAGTTTCTTTAAATGACCTTTAATGTCCTCAGAAAACGACGTAACGCGGTTACGTAACGTTGGCTGTAACTGTGGTCATCTGTTAGCAGCGCATGAAAAGATCTCTCTATGCATTAAAGCTTAATTAAATAAAGTTCAAGCGTGAAAAACGTCCAAGAGACGAGGTGCAGTCGACTTCACCTCAGACGGAAACATCCCGCTTTGATGGCGAGGATCTCAAACTGCAGAGAGCGTTTATTACAAAGTTTTTTTTACAGTGTAGAAAAGACATCACGATTGTTCTCATTGAATTCAAGTTTTTAATAAAGCAGTTATTTATCTTCGTGTTAAAGTCATGTTGACTTGAAGAGGACACGTATCCAAACATTTTATTTGGTTTTACAGAAAGTCGATCTTTAAATCTGTCTGTCCAGAACAGCGCCCTCGTGTGTGTTTGTTGATGTTCATACGGTTTATTAGCACCGTCTTTTAGCTTTAGCGAGTGATTGTGTATCTCGTGACTCCAGCTGTCCGTCTGTGACTCATATTCTCCCTTTAACACCAAGAAGTTAATTTTTACTCCTAAATTAACTTGAAGTCAGTGTTTGTCCGCAGCGTGTACGTGAGTTTTTATTCATCCTTGGAGAGAAAATAAGGTACGATAAAGATCCTCCTTTAAAATAAAAACATCTGAGTCTTTAATATTTGACATTCTGACCTGTGCCTCACAGCAGGCCGTGACTTCAGGATGAAATGGGGAAAAAAGACGATTACACCTGAAGGATCGTAACGAGACCTCGAGCTCGCTCCTGCACGTCTCCACGTTCTGTCACTTTGTTTCACGTGATCCGTGATGTCACAGTCTGAACGTCTCTCCAGAATGACGTCCGCCTCGCCGTGACGCCACAGACGGGTTTAAAGTCCAGAAACAGAAATATAAAGTGTCTACTGGTCCGTGGGCTTTGGAGCAGCGAGCGAGCTGATGAACGCGTCGTAGTGCTGCGAGTGGCAGCGTTTGTACTCGTTGATTTTCCTCTTGATCTGTTTGGGCGTGTCCTGGTAGTAGTTCTTCTCGTCTCTGGCCATCGCCTGCAGGACGCACAGAACAAACAGGACTGTCAGCAACCACATGATTCATTTTTAACTCCTGCAGCACGGAGAGAACGCAGAAAGGTTTACAGTTAAATATGAAGTAGTGTTCGGTAGGATATCTCGTTTCAGTAATCGCTCTCGCCTCACTCAGAGCGTGACGTGTGGATCAACAAACTCACAGAAGTCTGATTTTCAGAAGGCGGGTCTTAAACTTCCCGGAGCTGACTTGGCTTCTCACAATTTTAAGTCAGGGTTGAAATATTTTCCATTGTCGGACTTAACAAAGGACAAACCGTCTAGACTGACCCCGCAGCGCTCCCTCAGATGACTCACTTCCTGTTAGATCAGACGCTGTGAAACTACTTCCTGTTCAAATCTCCAGAGATATCAAACTGCTCTCAGAGCTGTGAGGTAAACAAACCAGAGCGTAACGTCTCGCTTTTTAATTCTACGTCATGAGAAAAACAAAATTCAGCGACTTAGAGGAAACCTGACGAACGTCAACATTCAAAACTTTTCAGGGAATCCAAACAGAAGAAGTCTCTTATCATCGAGGTCACACCTCCACGCTCACAAAACCCTCAGACCTGGGCAGCAAGCTTCACACCTCAGATGTCAGACTGTCCCTGAATGCACCGTCAGGGAAACTCTGAATATCGTATCTGATCGTGTGAAACGACCTTCTAGCTTTTATTGATTTTAAAGGTCGTTCTCGATCCGTGGATCACCTGAAGCGCCATCTGATCAGAACGAGAGTGAACAGACTTTAACGCCCAGACGGACGATGCCGGGCCAACGTTACTTTTTAATCTGATAAAAACCAGCGGATGCATCGATGGTAGGAGACCAATCGAACGCTTCAGCGTTAAACTGTCGACCTCCAGCGTTCCCGCTCCTACCTTGAAGTCGTCGCCGTGTTCTCGGATCATGTACTGAGCGTACTCGATCAGGTCGGAGGATAACGTCTTTGTGTCCTTTTCAGGACGCCCCGCCTCCTCATGCAGCTCTGCAGAGACAAACACACAGATCAGATGAGCTGCTGCTCTGTGATTGGCTGATTATAACGAGCTGTTGCACTGGGGACCCTAAAGAAGTGACCTTGAGGCGTAACAGAAAGAAGCACAAAGGGTTAAAAACGATTAAAATGACATCATCACAGTATAAACTTACGGTCGAGGACGTAGGGTTTGATCACGATGTTGACGGGAGCTTTAGTCTCTTTGTCGTCACCGAGGAGCTGCAAAAACACATGAAGAAGAACAAAGGAGGTGATGAGCTGATGTGATGGATTCTGGGTAAAGTGATCCATACCATGGTTGATGAGCGTGTTTCATCCATCGTGGTCGCTAACGCGGCGTGACGGGGGATGAAGAGCGGCTCAGCACACAGAGTCCTCGACATGACGCCTGAAGGAGGGAGAAATCCATCCTTCATGCTTCACTGGATGTCGTAACGTCAGCAGATAACAAACTCTGTGTTCAGACTGCTGCAGCCCGGAGGACGCCGTCGACTGTGAGCGACCTCGGGCCGAGAAACAAGAAGAATCCATTCAGCTTCAGAAACGAGAAGCGGCTGAATCTTCAGAGAGTCAAATCACAGACTCTCCTGGTTCTCAGGACAAACATTCTGCTGCCCCCTGCTGGCACAAAATGATTCCTACAGGAGACGGAGATGTTTAAAATCCTCGACTGTTAAGTCAAAGTTTAATTCAAAGGGAGATTTAAAGGGTTAAATTCCTGATAATGATTGAATGTTTGGTAGTTTTGAGCAGGGCTGAAGTTGTTTAAGAGATTTATGCAGAAAAAAATATCAATCTGTTTTTATATCAGTTTTTTGGAAGTGGACATCTTTGTCCTTAGAGACTTCAGAGGGTCGTAAACATGTTTCAGTGTTCTATTAAAAAAATAAAATGTTCATTCCAAAATGTGTCGAGAGACTTTGTTATAAAACATGTGTTCCATATGCTCTAACAGACAAGATGACCAGATGAAGAGGAAACATTTGACCAAATGGACAGAAATGTCCATAATGATGCATGAGGGTTAAGGAACCTGGTTTTTGATGGGTTAATGACAGATGGATTCATTTCTCTCCTTCACCGGTTTCATGTCGATGATGAGCACACAGAATAGCTAACATTAGCAACGTTTTAATTTAATCTAATGTTAATTTAATGTTTAAGGGTTGGTCTGTAAATGTCCTTTGGATTCATTTCATCTGATGTCATTTCCTGAGTTGATCCCGGTTAATGAATGGTTGTGTCCGCTCTTCTCTGAGCACACAGACTCTCCACCTGAGATCCTCGCCGTCTGCTGTTAGACAAAGTGTACGAGCGAGTTAGAGAAAAGCACTCACTCTGGGTTTCTTTATGGGCAGACTCCGGTTGGGATCAAAAGCCAGACCCATCTCCTGGAGGTTCTTGGCCGTGGACTTCCTCTCGTCCCACGCATGTCGAATCTGACGGCTGACAGAGAGAAGACGTTACACACACACACACACAACGGCCGCCATATATCGGGTCACTTGTGGTTTGGCGTTCATGTTCTCTCTTCAAACGGGTTAGTGTTGAACTTAAAGGTCATCAGAGACGGATTTTAAATTAAGATTTACTTTATTGATCCCCGCGAGCGGAAATTTCAGTTTTTACAATCTGTAGTCATGAACACACACACAGGCTGAAATACACACACACACACACACACACACACAGAGTGAAATACACACACACACACACAGGATCCTCTGGACATGCACTAAGGCAGAGGTGTCAGAGTGACGGAGCGGCCCACAGCGGGCGCTCCTGAGCTGATGGAGGGGGTTTGGTGTGTTGCTCAAGGGCACCTCGGCAGTGTTCAGGAGGTGATCTGGCACCTCTACAGCTACCAGACCAACTTCCATATTTGGTCCGCACCGGGACTTGAACCGGCGACCCTCCGGTTCCCAAGCCAAGTCCTGAGCTACCGCCGCCGATAAATGATCACAAGTGAAGAAACAATCAGGGAAACATTTCACCATCTGATCTATGGAGGGTGACAAAACCTGAAGATTAAACTCAGTTTGATCCCAACACAGTGGATCGCTCCCTCCGGGTCGGGGGAGGGTTGAGTATCCCGTGGTCTCGTTCACAGCGAGGGGAAGATGGAGCGTGAGATCTGAAGGTAAATCTCTCAGTCTTCGTCCCGACCCTCACCTGGGGTCTGCGGTGACCCTGCGACCTTTCCTCAGATAAGTGGAAGAAAATGAGTAACAAACTGATCAGAAAGCTGTTGGTCTCCGTCTCCTGGTAGTTTGTCAGGATGAGATGTGGAGGCAGAGGAGGGATGAAGTTTCTATATAAACATGTTTTATATAAAGTCCATCAGTAGGATAAGAGATGATTTTTAAAGTGTGATCTTAAGAGTAAGAAGTAGTTATTATTAATCTGCTGAGGTGTAAATAAGTCATCAAACTGTATTTATGAACATGTATCAGTGATGAGAGGCTCACTGATGATCCTCCTCTTCTTTACACTTTGAATCTTTATAATAATCATCAGTAAATCATAATAAAGGATCCACGTGTTGATGAACCCACTCACATGCCTCCGTTAGCTCACATTAGCTCACATGCTAACTCACTTCTCTATCCTCGGGTTGCTTTTCTTGATGAACTTCTTCAGCAGCTTCTTCCGGTCCTGCGTGTAGTCGAACTTCTTCCTCCTCGATGACTGCTTTGTTTTCGGCATCTTCTCTGAGTTAGTCTCCGGTTTGACTCGAAACACGAATCCGAGGTTTGTTGGTGAAGAGAGACGGCAACGTGCAGCAAACCCGGAAGTGAGAGTTTTGTTTTGTTCCGGTCGT